ACCAATGGCCAGATCTATTAATATTTCCGATGCAGCTTCTGGAAGTCACTCGTATTCAGGCGTGGCCGAGGCAGGTCTCCAAACATCTCTGTGCCGTCTGAAACCCGCAGCACCAGAGCTTTCATGCTGGCGGCAATCTTCTCCAAGTCGGGAGACGAATGCTGCAAAAAGAGGAAGGGAAGTAAGAGGACGGAGAACTTGTTCGCTTTCCCTCCCGCCTCCCCAAATTCCTTCGACTCCTTCCCTTGTTCCTGCTGTCTCTGATCATGAGAAGCTACCCCTATGAATTTGACTTCTCTTCCACCATTACAGGTAGTCCTCGACTTACAACGGTTCATTTAGTGGCCGTTCGAAGTTCCAAAGGCACTGAAAAAAAGGGATGTGTGACCATTTTTCACACTTATGACCGTTGCAGCATTCCTATGGTCACATGAGCAAAATTCAGACGCTTGGCAACTGACTCATATTTATGACGGTTGTAGTGTCCGGGGTCATGTGACCCATGTTTTGCGACTTCCTGTTAAGCAAAGTCAATGGGGAAAGCCAGATTTGCTTAACAACTGTATCACTAACTTCACAACAGCAGTGATTCACTTAACAACTGTGACAAGAAAGAAATGGGACACTTAGCAAATCTCTCCCTTAGCCACAGAAATTTTGGGCTAAATTGTGGTCGTATGTCGAGGACTCCCTGTATTTCTTCTATACCAGTTTATACTCTTAATTAAGAAGGTAAGGAGAACCAACCTGGAAAGCTGGTTTGCTACACAACATGCTCCTTGCAGGTAGTCCTCAATTTGCAACCATCAGTTTAGTGACCGTTTAAAGTTACAACAGCATTGAAAAAAGTGACTTATGACTAGTTTTCGCACTTATAATGGTTGCAGCATCCCAAGGTCACATCAAAAGTTGGTTGCTATTCAACAGAGAGTTATAGCTGGGTATGTGTATGTGTCATCTGATTGCCAGTTGTGACGTTCTCAGCTGGCTTCCAACAGTGGGAGAAGCTCGAATCATTTAACAACTGTGCAATTCACTTAACAACTTCAGTGACTTGCATAACCATGGCAAAAAAGGTTGTGAGATTGGGTGTGAGTCTTTGATTGCCTTGCTTAGCAATGGGAATTCTGGTCTTAAATGTGATTGTAAATCAAAATATGCCATTTCCCATTATCTGCTCAGAAGGATGAAAGCTCTAATGTGTTTAAGGAACTGGATGCCACTTCTGATTTTTCTCCAGAAACTGGTTTCAAACCCATTTTTGTAAACTCTTTTCTTCTGAAGTATCTAACTGTAAGATTTCCCTTTTCATCATTATACCTAACTAAGTGCTTTATGGGTAAACAATGTAGGGATGAGTTTAGAAAGAACAAACAAAGCCAAAAGTCACAACTGAATGAGGCATAGTTAAATGGCCAAGACAGCTAGAAGGATTTAAATTGTTTAAAAGAAATAGACCAAATAAAAGAGGAGGTGGAGGTGCACTATAT